TCAACTTCCATAGTGTTGGTCTCTTCTGGAAGGACGGTAACAAGAGGTTCCTTAACATAAGTAAGAGAGAGGTCGTTATCTGCAGTTTGTTGTGTGTTTTGCTTTTTTTTTGGTAATTTATCAGATATAGGCGACGCTGAACGGCCACGGTTGGTGTTCTTTCTTTCTGTTTTTTTGGGCATTTTTGCAAAAAGGGAGAAAGAGTTTTTTAAATTTTAAATTATTTATAAAAATGGAAATCCTATGTAATATATGCATTAATTTTCTATTTTAGTACAACTTGTGCATATGACTTTTGGTCTAAATTTTATACAAAGTCTAATGGTCTAGTGAGTCTATAACTATATATATAACTATTATAAGTGATTTATACTATATGGTAACCATTGGGGATATACTTCTAGTACTAGATTACCATATCCCTTAACTGTAGACTAGAAACTTTAAAGAATCACTTTAAAGGTAACATTTACTTAGTTATATAGATATTCTTCTAGAAAGTCCCTAAGCTATTACATATTAATAAAAAAATTCATTTTTGCATATACATTATCTAATCAATAGAATTTAGCATAAGTCTACCCAATTCTTAAACTAAAACATTGAGAATACAACCTAACAAACACTTGTTTAATTACTTCTTTAGAATATGGGGTCTTTGCAATAGAAAGGGAGGAAACTCAAAAAAAAATAAAAAATGAGTTAATAATAAATCTGAACAAATTATAGTATTTGGAACATTTTTGGTTTATAAACTAAAATTTTAATTTTTTTGAAGTTTTCTCCCTTTCTATTGTAAAGGCCCCATATTTATATAAGATATTCACTAAGCTCATCAATAGTAAACTCTTGAATATATTATCAATTAATAATATTTTTAAAAAGAACAACTTTACTAGCTTACTTTGTAGAAGTACTTTTAAACTAATACATATTTTTAACAACATTAGATATAATATTACTTTTTATTACAATAACTATAGATCTTATTTCAAAATATATCAAAAGCATATAACTGCATTAATATCATAATATTAATTAGACTTTCTGTCGTCTTTGCATTTCTGAGTCCTTTATTAAATTTTTAATTTTAATTTTCCTTTCATAATATAATTAAATATTTACTGCACATAGTAATATTAATATCTACTTAGTCCTTTCAGGAATCAACTAAAGAAAAATTATTTTTCTAATTCTATGATACATTTATTATAACCTATTATTATGTTACGTTTAAAACTCTTCAATTGGCTATACATAATATATTCACTAGAGATCAGATATTACAAAGCATAATATAATAAGTTTTTCTAATTATATGTCTACTCTTATTTATATAAATGATATGCTCTAGATGGTAGATTCTAGAACTGATTTTTAAAATATAATGATTGTTGCAGATTTTTTTTACTCTCTTAATAATATACAAATCAATTGGAATAAATCAGTATTAATGATCAATAGCAAGAACTTCAGTTTAGTCAACTTTAAATTCAATTAAAGACATCTAGCTTTTCTGTTTATATTACAAAGAATTTACAAGATATATAGGAGTCTAGGTATTCCTTTTAACAATAACCAATTTATTATTAAACAAGTTTTTGATGAATTTGCGAAAACAAAAAATGTGCTTAACAAAAAGAAATTGACTAGTAAATATATGGTTTCAATCTTTAATATAATAGTTATTCTATGCATACTCTATAAGATAAAACTTACTTTTATATCTTGTTCAACTTGTGATAGTCTTATGATGTCCTTCAGAATTTTTTTCAAAAGAAATTGCATTTCATAAGATTTATGCTAGCTTCTGTTCTTTACTTAACATTCAGATATAACTTAGCACATTTTTATGATAAACAAATGCAAGCTAAATTATTTAACCTTTTAAAAATAATTAATAACATTTTCTTGTTTAGTTCTATTTCAAGACTGCATAATTTACAACTTCAACTATTAGAATAGTTATCATTGTCTCCTCTAATAGACTTAGCTTTATATCAACATAAAATTCTTTAAAGACTAGTGGTCTAATTTTTTATCTACTACAAAGCATAATGATTTTAAATTTTTAACAATGTTTAAATGATAACTACAATTTAAGACAAATTAAAAGTGGCTCTATGCCTATCTTATAAGTTTTTTCTCTAAAAATATATCAGCAAAATATACCTAAATTTCATATACTGTCATTTTTATACGTTAACTAACTTATTATAATAGATGGATTCAATTTATTTATATCTTTTGATTTCAATATAATATATGACACAATATTCTATAATATTAAATGGTTCACTTATATGGAATCAAAGCTCTTAGTCAACCTTACAAATAAATGAATAAATCATAGTTATCCTTCTTATGTATCACTTATTAAAGCATCAATCTAACCTACTAATTTTACTGTTTCATCAACTAATCTAATCTTTGTAATCATTTAGTCTAATCAATATATGACATTTATTTTAAGTAAAATTGTTAAAATGAAAGACACAATCATTTATGCATAACATTATTAACTAAAATAATTTTAATCCTAATATATGCTTATCATTCCTTACATCAGATGTAATCTTTTAGATTCTTCAGCTTTTATGCTATATAAACAATAACAGAGACACAATTTTTATACTATTAAACTACCTACAATATATATTCCTTATTCAAAGTTTTTTACAGATCTTGTGATGATTGATGATATAATCTCTCTCATCTAATGTTTCAAGAATTAACTTTATCAACGCTGATTTCTCTATATTAATATTTAACTAAACCTTTGTTTAATTTATCTATTCTTCCTTTTGATCAATTATCTATTAATAAATTAGATTACCAATCTCAATTTACTAATACTAACTTCCTTCAATTTTATACTGATAAATATTTTACATCTTTAAGATCTCCTAATTGCTAGATAAAAATTGCATAATTACAAACTGATCAGAATTAGCTATTATTCTTCTTTAATATCACACTTGTTTTATATTCACCTTTTACATTAGTAGAAATAGTTGCTATTCTTACTGCAGTTTATACCTCACCATCTAATGCTAATATCAAAATCTGTATAGATTCACAAACTGCAATTGCATTATATCACAAGTTACTATTTTATGTGAAGATTCTTTTTCTCTAAACCCTGTATTCAAAATTCTATACTTTCATATTTAAATAATAATATTACACTTCCTTGCCATCCACAATATTAAATTAATACTTATTAAAGTTAAAGCACACAGGAAAGATCACTTTAATAATCAAATTGATTTTTTGACAAAACAGATTATTAATGCTTCTTTTAATTTTAATATTGATTACCTAAGCCCTAAATACTTTGCTTGTCATGGATAAACTCTAATTATTACCTCTTCTTATTTATTTATCAAATATTTGCAATAAGCTTCTTAAGCTGAATTCTTCTTAACTCTATCATAACTTAATAAATATAGCAATTTTCACATTGATTGGCTAAATAACTCAGAAATGCTAAGATTATATCATTTGATATATATAAAGAAAGCAATTTAAACTTAAATTAGTTCTATAATTACTTTTCACTTTTAAAGTTATAAATATCAAGTATCTGCATATTTATATCTCAAATAACTATTTCTATTATAATTCAATAATAGAAGACTTTATACATATAGTGGGTAATAAAAGAAATATAAGTATGATTAGTTACTTTTGAACAGCTATAACTTATCAACCACAAATGCTAGAAATATAATTTTGTACTTGTTTTAAAGTCTAAATCTTGAAAAATATTCTGGCATTTTTTTTTTTTTTTTTTTACAGAAGTGTAGCAGTTTTGCATAATCTTTATTAAATTTATATAATATTAGGTACATATAATAAAATAGAAAATACAAAAATATCTATAAATTAATTTATAAGCTAAACTACTTTATCAATACCAACTTTGCACTTTACCAAACTAAACTATAAATAGAAAAGAAAAGTGAAAAATCCTAAACTAAACTAAACTATTATACAGTTATCAAACATCTGAAAGGGAGAACATGATTACTACTATTCTAAAAATTTGATCAATGGGAGCCATAGGCAATAGCTGCTAAAAAGGATGCAGAGTTTGAGGTTGAGGGGAGAGGAGAGGAGTATGGGAAACCTGAGGAGACCTAAGGGATAGTATAATCTTCTTCAATGTTATTAATAATTTTTCATTCATTCAGGATAGCATTTCTTTGTAACTATATCTCATAACAAGATATGAAAATATCATGATATAGTGAAGACAAAAGGCTATGTAATAAATTTTTAGCAGATAAGCAAACTGTTATTTTGTCTGACAAAGATAGAGGTATAACACCTTTAAATAAATCAAGAAACCAAAATTCAGTTGAAGTAGATGATGAATTCCAGATAAGAACTGATGATATTTTTTGAACCAGTGAGTCATTATTAAGAGTATTTAGCTCTTTAAGGTAAGTGATAAATTTTGATTTATGTGCAATAACCAAATCTTTTATGTTTAGTTTATTATTAGAATAAAACTACAGATGCAAAAATATTCTAGCAATTTTTTTTTTTCACTATTAATGTGCGGTAGCTAGAGAGTTAGTAGAGGGCATATCATAAATAGGACAAGTGTTATTTCACATTAAGTAACCTCTTTAAGTTTCTGATCCTATTAAGGGATATAGTAACCCACTTAGAAGCATATCTCTATACAGTTGCCATTTAGTATAGACCACCTTGCAATAAGTTATTCCTATATCACAAGGCTCATTAGACCTTATTGGATACTATCACCTTTGGATAGAGGGCTCACTTCAACTATAGAACTTGTCAGGTCCTATTTTTACCAATCTAATTTATAGGATTTTATCCTATTGATGACTATTGAAACTGTAGAATTGGGTCTTTTACATAGATAGTAGTTTTATACCTATAGCATCAAATTCACCTGGGAATCGAACTTAGCCTCTAACTCTAGTGATGATTTGATTTGAAAGATACTGCAGCGTGCAATGCAGTCTATTATTACCTTAGGCATTACACCTTCTTGCAGTGAATCCAAATCTACTAATTACTGGTTAATCACTTCTTTACTTGTATAAGGGTTCCTGAATTTGAAGACATGAGACTAAAGATGGCGTTGCAACATTGTGATGCTTATTTGTCACCTGTTGCAACTTAAATTTTAATAATGTTGCAA